GCCACTGCCGTAGAAGGGAAGTCTTCATTCTATTTCTATTTCTACTTCTACTTCCAGCTGAGAGGGGACCCAGGAGGAAACCAAAGAAGGCAGAGCTATAGGCTAGCATTTGAACTGTAGCTTATAAGAGAGGAGGATTTTATTTTGAACTTCAGTTTCTCTCTGGATACATATCAGCGGAAGGTTTATATTCAAACTACTGTAGCACTTGGTGGTGCCTTTGGTGCTATCAGAAGGCCCTCACTGATGACTCGAGGGTGAACTACACTGGACGGTGTGGCTGAATATCATGGCACAAGGTGAATTTTGGCTGGGGTACAGTGTAACGTGGATGTTAACGAATGAGTCCTCCTGCTCTGAGTCCGGGGGCATCCAGAAGCCGGAGCTAAGCTGTATTTTGCATGGGTCCCCGGGAGATGCATGAGGACAGTGGTTCTCCAAAGCATGTGGCCCTGGGCACGGTCACTGCCACAGTCCTTTACGGCACCTGTGCCCCCACGCCCACACCGCCCAAGGCTACAAGCCATTGATTGCATCTCACGGGAAACCCTCTGCTGGCTTCCTTTGTAGGCTGTCACTGCTTTAATGCAAGACATGAGGGCAATGTCCCCAAAGCAGAGCCTCATTCCTTGCTCCAGGCTTCCACGTCAGAGAGCCAGGCTAATACACACTTCTGGACGCTGTGAATCATTTCTTAACACGGAGCCCTAGAGGCACTCCCTACACTGGATGTTTCCAGAAGCTGTATTGTGGGTAACAAACAGTGCTCAGAACATTGGCATTTTGTGGCGTGTTTTTTTTTTTTTTTTTTAAACCGGGCAGGTGCAGAAGTCTATAAAGATAAGCATGTATAAACCAATGGGGGACAGGCAGAGGGCAGTGAACTTATCAGATTTGGTGATTTTAAGGCTTCAGACCTAAAGTCTTCAAAGTGACTGCCGGCCACCAGACTTGACCTGCCGGCCAGCAATGAACATGGGGTCACCTCCTGAAGGTGGGAACAGGTTGTCTTAATGGACCACAGCTTCCCCTGCGTGGTGACTACAGCCTGGGCGCTGGGACCTGAGTCTGGGCAACAGCCAAGTTTGAAAAATGTTGGGGATGGGGGATGTCCCCTCCCTCTCTCACATCCCCATGAGGAGGAGACTTCCGTTTCCTCTCCCTTGAGGGGGGATATTAGGCGGAACAGCTCTAGAGCCTGTGGGTATACACCCCTTTCTCTCTTCTCCCCACTGGAGAGTCACAAAGCCAACTTTGGGAGGTTGACTGGAAATGTCTTTCCTGGGAGTGTGTCTAGTGCAGTGAAACAGCCACTTGGGATTGTCTTTTGCTCTCACTTATCCATTTGGTCACTAGCTATGACATAGAAGGCCAAATGTCCAAAAAGTTGGGGTGTGGCATTACTGCCTGGAAGTGATAAACCAGGGACAATTTTTCCGTCCTCCCACCCCCATCGCCCACCCGATGCACTTGAGAATAGGGGTGGAAGCGACGTCCTGGTCAAAGGCTTCAAGAAGTGGTAAGCCTTCTTCCTACTCTCCCTTCTGCCAGCTAGATGTGAAGGACTACACAATCCAGGAGGGTGCAAGAGCCACAATGTGGAAGGAGCCAGATTCCAGAATCACTGTACCGAGAAGAGGCACCCGGACCAGGAATACTGGCCTCAGGCTATTACCTAAGTAAGAAATAGACTGTATTGAATTTGAGGTTCACGCATGTTTGGTCTATTTGTTCCAAAAGTTTAATGTCACTCTAAGTAGTAAACTAGGGGGGCAGAGTCTGGTCCACAAGTTTCCATGCAACTGGAAAAGGAAGTAGTCTGAGCCCGCCTGGCACACCAGACCTCCCACGAGTGTGTTCCAACGTCTAGGTTGCAAGAAGGAACACGAGGCCTCCAGTTTGGCTGCTGGTGATGTTCTCCAAATCAACATGAGCAGCGAGCCTTATGCTATGGAGGCCATTGGGCTCTTAGCTTGTCCATTAATAAACATGATCCTTTGATCCTCATTGACTCTCCATCCCTTTGATCCATATTCTATTGATTAGAATCACCGTCAGGATGAGAGGGTGAGTGATGAGTTCATTCAAGACATTCATACATGCCTGCCTCATTGGGGCTCTGGAGACTTAAGGTGTGAAAACAAGAAATTGGTCATGTGATGTCCCTGGAGGGATAAGGACACGTCAAATGCCAGGTAAGTTCCATCCTGCTCACGGATGGGAAGACGGTGTCAATGGCTGGGAGACAGCCTGAGGCCTGGAGGGCTGACATGGCACTGTGGCCAGAACACTTGGAGACACCAAACACTGTAACAGACCAAATCCAAAGGTCAGGGGCGCAATATGGGCGCAAAGAATGGGGAGAGATGCTTACATACGATGGTAGACATCACGCATGGAGATGTGCAGATCTACTAGAGCGACATCTAGCCTACAACTGGGTATGATTCATCACCCAGATTCCTTCCTCTAAACCACCTCTCGGGTACCATGATTTTCCAGCTACTGTGATTTCCCAGCAGACAAAGAGAAGGGAAGCCACCGGGTAAAACAGCTGTGACTTAGAAACTTAGAATCTATTATGGAAAATCTCCCTGGTATTTCTTTTAACTGGTGCCTGGTGAGTGGCCCCCAGTCGTAGCTAAGCACACAAGATGGGGTGCTCTGCCCGCCCGCAGCACAGCTCATAATTGCCCATAAGAGCTCCCTCCCTACTTCTTCCCTTCCTCCCTTCTTAGTTCACAGGTGAGACAGGTGGCTCGTGTGGTCATTCGCCCCCCCTTGCCCTGGTCTGGAGCCTTTAAAATGATTAGGGCCACAGTGTAAACCATAATCCACACTAACACAGCCCTAGTTTGGGTTGCCAGCACGTTAAGAGAAGAAATTTACACAAAATACAAGTGTATATATTTTTTGCAACAAAAGAAACTATTTATTTGGAATATGCATTACCAGTACAAATTAGGAGACTGTCAAACCTACACCGTGTTAGTATCATTAGAGAACACAAAAGTTCAGTTGGAATCAAAAGGGACCGAAGCCTGTGCTCTCACAGAAGCAGAAAAGCTTAAACTTTCAAAACCAAAAACAGAGCAGAACTTTGTAGGTTTATACTCTGAATAATAAGAACAGGGGAGGGGAGCAGGAGAATAAAACCAACAACCAAAGGAAAGCACTTCAAAATCATGGAAAACGCCAAAGGAAAGAAAGGAAGTCGTAAGAGAGGAAAGGGGAAAAACATTGAATGTTTTATTAATTTTAACAAAAGGAAAAAAAAAAAGTTTACAAAAAATAGAAGATTCCAGAAAGCTTTGAGCTGGGTGTTGAAACCGTAAAGGTGATGTGAAAAGCTCGTCATTATTTTGTTGATTCAGGAACAAGCGTGCAGGTGTGTGGGCAGAAACACTGGCAAACCTTTGTTCCGCGGTCCTGCACCGTGGCCTACACTTTCCTTATGTTCGGGTTGCTTTCTGGACACTTAATCATTTGTCGAATGCAAGATATTTATAATAAGCTTCTTCCAGATCATACTGCTTTCTTTTCCCCTAGAACTAATAAAAAACATTCCAAATCAAGCCAGTTTAACCGTTTGCTTGAAGCAGCCGCCTACATCAGAGACGTAGAAGAGGTTTGTCGTCAAGAAATCAAACTTCACCTCTCGCCATTAAAAGGAGAGCACCGAGTCGGGCTCGATTTCTCAACTCTTCGTCCAAAATCAGGATTCAAGAGATCAGTAGGCCGACTGACCGACCCCAGGGATGGCGTCCTGGATCGGGTCTAGGCAGCCAATGGTCCATCACACCAGGATTTCCTGTGGGATGCTTCTGGAAGAAAAATCCTCTCTGGTTGTAAGAGGGCTCATGGAATGTTGTTATTAATCAGGAAGAAAGAAAGCACTTTGTTGTGACATTCACAGGCAACAAAGGGCGAAAAGTCTTTCCCTTCCTTATAAAATGTCTCCTGGACCGACTCGTTGAATTTGTAAAGGGCCAAAAGGAGAACCCAGGTCCCTGACTGTGTTTTTCTCGGGGACTGTGGGAATGCCACACGCTCTGGAAATACAGGGGAGCGATGTGACATCACGATGGGCTTCATCTTTGTCTTTGAAGTCAACTGAATTCCGGAGCAAAATAGAAGCACAGGGAAACCGCCTACTCTACCAATGTCATCTTTTCACATCACCTCGTGTACATATTTAAGGAATAAAAACAGCAAGAGCATAATCCTGACAATTAAAAAAAAAAAAAAGCACCCCCCCCGTAATAAACAAACCAAAAATAACACAAAACATAATTTTTTTTTTTTTATATTTTAAAGAGTAGGAAGAAAGAAAGAAAAGAATTTATTTCTGGGTCTCAAAGTTAATAAACATAACATGTTAGGTTGTACCTATGATGCTTCACTATCCCAACCTTTTTTTTTTCTTTTTTTTCTTTTTTTAGTTTACAAAATGAATTACTGTCACTTTTAAACATTGTGAAACAGGAAATGAATGTGCACAACTCGACACTTTTCTAGCATTCTTGAACTAATTCACAAATGCAAGAAAATAAAAGAAAAATGGGGGAAATGATTAATGTAGGTAGTCTGGCGTGAGAAACAAATGCAGGAATGATGCGTATTGTCACAGAGAGAAGAGGGGAGCCCCCCCATCCTGTTTTGCGTGCTATGAGGGTCATTTTTTAAAATTTTTATTATAAACACTATTAAATCCAGACCGCTTTTTTGGTTTTTTTTTTCTTTATCTGAATATACAAGAACATTCATTATCAAATGTTCATCATCAATACTACAAAGAACGAGACACAAGTCGCAAGAAACAATGGAAAATGTTAATAAAGCTGAAAGAATCGTCGAGTATTTTTTTTTTGTATTTTTTTAAGTTTTTTTTAAATTTGAGTTTCTGTAGTTTCATCTTTTTTTTTTTGGTATCGAAGTCAGGTTTTTCTGGGCAGAAAAATAAAACTCAGAAGGAAAAGAGGTGGGGGGGGGGGGCGGGGAAGGTACGTGAGAGAAGACGACCAGCAAATAAAGAACCACCACCACAGCAAAGTAAAAAAGAATCAATGTAAGGAAGGTGCCACTTGTCACAAAGTACTGCACAGGCGTCAGTTTCACGCCAGGGGAAGGAGTCAGGGATGAAGAGGAAGAGGTGATGAAGAGTTACAAGGTGGGCAAACCCAAGGGCTACTTTTTCTCAGGGGAAATCGGCTGCCAGGGAAGATGGAGCGTTCTCGCTCCTGTCAGAAAATGCAGGAGTCCTGGGGCACATTTTGGTATCTGTAGGATTGACCTAATGTGGATTCCCAGGGAGCTGTATTTCCAGAGGCACGCTCTCTCCATCCCCTTCCTTCTGCCGCCAGAGATCCCATGCTTCGCTTACCGTCCGGGGATCTGGCGGCTGCCATGTTGGACGTGATGGAGGGCGTGGAAGGGAGGTGGTGGAAAACTGGAGCAGACAGGGCGGAGAGAAGTGCTGGGTTGGGAAGGTGCTGGGAGAGGTGAGAATCAGTGCACACTCCGGCGGGAGAGAAACTGTCTGTGCAAATGCAGCTCTGCTCTGCGTCATCAACTTCAAACGGCAATGACTCAACCCAAATCTGGAATCATTCTTCCTGTGTCCCAGAGAACCCTTTTGGGTCTCTTCTGTACTGTGCTCAGTCAGCCATGTGTTCCAACTGTCCTCCTGTGTGGGTGGTTTAGATTCCTGATGCTAAGCAAGACTCTCCTCTGGTTCTACAACTACGGGGGGGTCGGTCACAAGATGGCTCTTGCCAAGAAGCCTCCCTACCGAGCCCTGTTCTGATTGGGGCACAGGTCAGCAGACACAACCTTTCCACTGCTTTTAGTCATCACGGCCTTATCCCATCTTGCCAAAGATTTACTTTTTGCCTCTCCTTCAAATTCACACACCTTCCTGTTTCTTAGGTAACCCCTCTCCCCAGTACACACAAGAAGTTTCTATTCCTTACTGGAGTGCCATGCACGATTTCCATGACCTTGTTAGACGGCCATCCTCACCCCTCAGGGTCTTATATTTCTCCCACGGGCCTCTCAAGGCAGAGTGTGTGTGACAGGGGACTCTGTACTTACAAGGCCACGTGCTGGATTCAAGTACAAACGAAGAGAACCGGGCCCTATTTTTCTAGTTTGGAGGCTTCTCTCTAGTCTATGGAACCACACAGACCAAAACAAACAAAAAAGCAACACCATCCCTTCCTTTGTCATCGTGGCAATGACCTCGGGATACTGATGCTACCTAGACGCTGGAACAGGGAAACCGTATGTTGCCCCTACGTGGCATGAACTGGGTTAGTTTGGAGATAACACTTCCCCTGACTTCACGTTTACGGATCGCATACGAATGAAATCAATTTCTTCGGTCTCTCACAAGCCTCTTGGTAAGCCAGGCCTAAGAATCCCCATTTCACAGATGAAGAAAATGAGGCACTGAGAGATCTGACCAACCTGCTTCCACTGAGTCAAGTTACAGAGCCGCCATCGTTCCCGCTGGCACAGCTGGCTATGAGGAATGTAAGCTCAGGTGACACTAGTGAGTAACTCTCTAGTACGTAACTCTTCTCTCAGACATTCCCGGGGAATGAAAATCACTGGGACGATTTCACGGAGAACATCACCGCCCCTTTCCCCATCGCTCCCAGGTCTTCAAATGAAGCTGGCAAAACATGCCTGGGCCGTGTGCTCACACAACCCCTCCAGAACAAGAATGTGGCGCCACGGAACACTCCGGACAATTAATGCAATGTCCCTAATATAAAAACAAAACCAGAACAGAACCAAAGCCATTGCAGACATTGCTAAGTACTGTGCGTGGCTCCCTGAGAGTCCAGAGGTGCTGGGAACGGGAAGAGCTTACACTGCAAACCTGGCTTCCACCGTGATTGGTCCCGTGTATGCAGTTCTGCGTGCAAGCCAGGGGGCCGCGGGGCCTGGAAGGTTCAGGCACGTGCTGTTTCTCGGTCTCGGTGAGCCTCACTCAGAGCCGCTAATTCCCTCTCCTGGGCTAACTGCTGCGGTTGCTAACGTGGGTATTTTTGCAAGCGGCCTGTGACGGATCTGGAGAAAGTGAACGTGTGAGACCGCGCGCGTGCGTGTGCGAGAAGGTGCCGTTGAAGGGTTTCAGGGTGAGAACGTTCTACTCTGTAGCGGTTCGTTCGTCGCCATGCCCACTCGGATCTGGTTTTGCGGTAGGTTCTGGACCTTGCTTACTAAGAGTTGCATGGTCTCCAAAGACTGTGCCTCTGAAACCAAGAGCTGTTAGGAGAAGGAGGAGAAAGTCTCCGAGAATTCTGCCCTTCTGGTTGCTTCCGTCCTCTCCTGCTGCTTGACTTCCTGCCTGGGGATCAACCTAGTGGAGGTGAGACCGGAAAATGTGGCACCTTTAGAAGCCCAGCTATGGCAGTCCCCAGGGCACAGCTAGGGCTGGGGAGGAAGAGGAAGAAGTGTTCTAAGCGGAGCTGGCCCAGGGAGGGGAGAGCAAGAGAAAGCAGGGGGCCTGGAATGAGTGGGGCAACGTTGCGCATTCCTGCTAAGAGGTAGTGAGAGTAAGAAGAGAAACTGAGAAGGGCTGCCTGTTCACAGAGGGAGCGAGGGATCCGAGTGAGGTAAATCTGGCTCCTCAAACCACCAGCGTGAAAACATACAAACACGTTTATTATTTTCTTTGTATTTTCTTTCCTCTTTAAATTCCTCTAATGGTTGAAAATATCCTTCCGTGATGTAAGAGAGGGCGGGGGCCCCGGGAGTCTAGGACAGAGGGAAGGGGCGGGAAAGATGGCGGGCACCAGGCTGACAGCTGGAGGCAGGGAAGGGTGGCTTCTACCCAGAAAAAAAAAAGGGAAGAGAGTATAAAGAAGTGTCCAGATTGGCTGAAATAGCATCCCAAAGAAGAGAAGAGAAGGAGACTCTTATTGTGTTTGCTGATTGCTTCGACCTCCAGTCTGACCGCTTCAGCGTTGGGAGAGAAACCCTCCCTCCTGGCCCTGTCCCGACTGGGGCACAGGGTCAGCCGGGATGCGATTGCTAGGAGATCAGTTGGAGGTATCAGAGTGAACACTGCCAGGGCCTTCTGTAGGGGAGGTCACTGATGAAGGGGTAGTGGCATCCTGCCAACCTCCATTAGCCTAGAAGGGAAAAAGGGAGAGAAGTCAGTCTTCTGAGATTGGGTGGCCATTTTGAGCAGACAATGACAACAAGGCAACTTGTGTGAAGGGCCTAGCACGGTGCCTGGCACACAGGACGCTCCTCGGCTGGGCCGCTATTCTTGTGGTTGGTAGTACTCCCTCCACCCTCAGAGGAGTTTGGGCCCTCCCATTGAGCCTTTGGACACAAGGTTAATACCCCCCACTTCTCGAAGCTATCTGAAGTCAGTTCAAGCTGTCAGATGATCATGGTGGTGCTCTAGGGGAATGACAGGTCGAGGGACCCAAGTTCTGGTTCCGACGCTGGCCATGGCTAGCTGTTGACCCTGGTGAAGCACTTCTACGTCTTTGGGCCTCGGGTTCCCCTTTAGAAAAATTAAAAGGTTGCCCGAATGCCTTCTAAAGCCTTTTTATGCGTGTTCCGTACGTTAGGGGATTCCAGGCACCTGTTCTGTGCAAGGTTCTGTACTAGATGCTCTTGGGTATACGGGTATACAATGATGAGTGAGATACGGTTCGTGGCTTCAAGGACGTGGATAAGACACGCATGTGAATGAACTATCATTCAAGGCAGAACCTAAGAAATAGTACAACCCAGTTGTTATGACGGTTCAGATGAAGGCAATACCCCATCTTGTTGGAGCATCAGGGAAGGCATCATGGAAGAGGTAGTCTTTGAGGTGAGCCTTGAAAAGTACAGAGGGTGATTCAGGCAAATAAAACAGGCGAAAACAAAGGTGGACCAGGGACTGATCTACACAAACATATCTAGAGAGGTGGTGATCCAGGAAGCTGTAAGTTTGATCTATGTTTATAGATCATTTTTCTAAGACTCTAAATCCAGAAGCATCCAGAAATGGAATTGTTCTGAAAGGATTTATTTTGATGACCACCCCTTTCCAAAAATATCCCCCCGTTAAAATGGCTAGAGGATGATTTGCTAGAGTGGTTAATTCACGATGCATAATTCAGGACTGTTCACGTATTTTAAAGCATTGAAATATAAGTGAGCTAAGATGCCTTTTCCCCCCCCTCAGTTGCTGTGTTCCTTTGGAGTTAATGTACCTCAGCTCTAAAAATGTGAATGTTGAACAGACCAGGTCTTGGGCATTCTGGGTCAATTATTTTCTACCCTACTCTCCACTCATTTTTTTCCCTGAAATATTTGGGGTACATGAGGCAGGTGTTATTATTGCCACTTGGGAGGGGTCACAACTTCCACTCTGGGATACTCCAGGGCACCCAGGACCTACATGCAAACGTGTTCACATTTCATTCATAAGAAAGCAGGGGTGCGAGAGAAAAGCGGGCTTCTGGTTTATGACTGAGACACACAGGCTTCTCAACCTTTGAATCCAGGCTCCTTTTCCTCTGCCCTTCTCATCCTCTTGGCTTTCTTTTTCACTGGCTCACCCAAAGGATGTTCCAATTTTCCCGGGAAAGCCGGGCTTTTCATTCAAAGCAGCTCCCAATGGTTACCTCTACACGAGGACAGATGTTTTTCCGCACCTCCCTAAAGAGCAAGCAGGTCTAGATACTAAGAGGGCAAAAGGTTAGCCTGGCCAAGGGCATTTCACCTCAATTGGGGATCCATGAATAACTGCATGAAAATCCAAATCTCCATCTCCTGACCTAGTCAGTAGCTCCTCCTCCCCCTCTCCCTGCCCAGCACATTTCTCTTGCCCTTGGTGAGGGATCGGAAGGGGAAGAACGAGGAGGAAATGGGAACTCTTTATTTTACAGTGATTCTTTCTGGGGCGCCTGGGTGACTCAGTCGGTTAGGCGTCTGACTCTTGATCTCGGCTCAGGTCATGATCTCACGGGTATGAGGTGGAACCCTGTGTTGGGCTCCGTGCTGAGTGTGAAGCATGCTTGGGCTTCTCTTTCTGTCTCTGTCTCTCTCTGCCCCTCCTCCACATGCTCTCTCCCCCAATAAATAAATAAGGGGCGCCTGGGTGGCTCAGTCGGTTGAGCATCTGACTTCAGCTCAGGTCACGATCTCACGGTTCGTGAGTTCGAGCCCCGCGTTGGGCTCTGGGCTGATGGCTCGGAGCCTGGAGCCTGCTTCCGATTCTGTGTCTCCCTCTCTCTCTGCCCCTCCCCCATTCATGCTCTCTCTCTGTCTCAAAAATAAATAAACATTAAAAAAAAAAATTAAAATAAATAAATAAATAAACATTTGGGGCGCCTGGGTGGCTCAGTTGGTTAAGTGTCCGACTTCGGCTCAGGTCATGATCTCGTGGTTCGTGGGTTCGAGCCCCGTGTTGGGCTCTGTGCGGATAGCTTAGAGCCTGGAGCCTCTTTTGGATTCTCGGTCTCCCTCTCCCTCTGCCCCTCCCCTGCTCATGCTCTTTCTCTCTCTGTCTCTCAAAAATAAATAAATGTAAAAAAATAAAAATACAAAAAAGTATTTAAAATATACAACAATTCTTTCTGGGTTGTATAAAAATATACAACCATCTTTCTGGGGCCAATACCCTGTCATATGATCATAATCATATTAATTCAGTTTCCTAACGCAGGTTTGTCACAGGGGTGGCAAGAGGTTAGTCTCTCTTCCCGACCAAGAACATATATATTCTGGTGCCATTTTAGGAGGAGTGGGAACAGCGATTATACTCATTTTACCCCAAAGAAAATTCTTTAATGTCATTTATCTTTTCTGATTACAAAAGATAAGCTAATACGAGATTTTCAAATACAGTATTTGCAACTGGATATGCAATATAATATTTGGAAAAGAGAAAAAGCATGAAAAACAAAATGCGCAACTCTCAAAATCCTACTGTGCAAAGATAGCCAACTATTAGCATTTTGATACCTGTCTTAAGAATCCTTTTTTTATATGTGTGTGTTTAGCAGAGATAGATGGATAAGTAAGTAAATGGCGGGGTGTGTGTGTGCGCGTGTGTGTGTGTGTGTTTGCTGAGTAGTACAGGATTTTAAGAAAACTTCACAGAGCTTCCTGAAGTACAGTGTCATGAGGCAGAGAATAAAGTGCTCGCACAAGAAGAGAAGACTCACGTATCTTGGAATCGACCTGGTGGGGGACGTGTAGATGTGGAAACCCCAGGAAAGCAGTCCACGTCCATGTCAGAGTACAAGGCGCAAAAACGTTTCACTACATCGCGCTCCTAATATATCACTACTCTTACCATTATTTAGCCATGCTTCAATTTCATTAAAGTAACAGTAAGCGGTGCCCAAAGTAAAGCCATGAGTAGAGAAAATAAGCCCGGCGGTGTCTCATTCGGAGGGATTTGGCAAGGCGTCCTGGACTGACCAGAAGATTCCAGGAGACTCCTTTTGATTCGTGTGTCTGAGATGAAATAACTCAAGCAGGAGACGTTTGAAAAAGTTTTGTTTTCTCGGACCAGTGCACAGGATGCCAGAGGGTACAGGAAGCTCACAGATGGTAGAGGCAGGAATCAGTTCAAGCTGATACCAAAACTGGCATCTTAATAATCCCAGTTGGCCCAGTGAGGAAGAATATATAAGACCTCTTAAAAATAAATAAAACCAATCTCTTTTCTTTCACTCCCCCTCTATCCATAAACACACACGCAGAAACACACAACTTCAGATCGGGCGGCCAGCTATCGCCTTGTGCCCGGGGCCCCTCAACATTAACACTGAAGTCCTGTATTCCTGTAACTACTCCCCCCACCCCCGCGCCCCCCGCTAAAACCTCCGTGATCAGAAACTGCGAGCAAGCCCAACTTCGCCAGGTTTCCCGTAAATCACTCTGGCTGCTTTGGCGGCGCTGTTCCAGCCTTAATGCAAGCCGTTCAGAGGCTGCTCCGTCTTGGGAAACAGCTGACCTCGCTTACTGCCACGTTAACCCTGGGGAGCAATTCCTTCCCGCTTCCTGACTGCGGGTGCATATTAAGTAGGAAACTCCGCCTTTGTGTGTTTATTTATCTCTGGGGCGGGCGCAGGGAGCAGGGAGGATGGTCTCATTAGCGACCGTGGGGGCGGGGGGTGGCAAGAAATAAGACTTTCCTTCTGATTTTTCTTCTGCGCCCCAACTTCCGCCTTCACTCATCTTCGGATGCAAACCTCCCTTTAGAACAGACACACTCCCTTCAAAATGCTGATGTCGGAAACGCACTGAGGCCTCACGGGGGTGGGAAGGTGAAATCTGCAAAACCAAGTGTGCCCTTGTTATCTCTAGGAACATGCCTCCTGTAGGAGCCTTTACATTCGCAGCTAGTCGTACAGGAAATTCTGCGGCCTGTGGCCTGGAAGCGAGGCCCGATCTCACATTTAATTCCACCAGATGAAGCCTAAGCCAGCAGCGGGCTCATCATGGAACCTCCTGGAGGAGGAAGCCAAAGGAATACACAATTAGGACAAAATGCACACGGTTTCCCGGACAAGAAAACCCGGACTTTCAAACACAAATTAAAGAAAGGGATTTGGGAACAAAACATTTCAGAACAAACAAACGACTACGGACTCCACATCCTGCCCGAATGAATTTGGCACGTAATTGATATATACCCAATGTTGCTGGGACCCCCTCTAATGGATAAGGCGCAGTCGGACGAGGCACAGCGAGCTCTGAGGCCAGGGATGGGGCAGTGGGGGATGGGAACACCCACGTGGGTTCTCCTGACCAAACGCGAGAACACGGAATTGTCCCTGAAGCCCCGACTTCTCTCCCTCTCTCTTTCTACCACCTTCCCGAGCCCAAACAAGGGCCACCTGCCTCTCCCCTGCTGTTGAGGATCCAGCACCGCTTTCAGCCCAGAGGAGTGGCTGCTGAGCTGAGAACTGCTAGTCCCACCCTCCGCTCCTTCCAGCTCTTCCTCTGAGCTTACCTTAGCAGCACACCGTTGATGCAGAGAATTCATCACCTGATGTGACAGCCCGAGCGAAGCCTGGCACTGAGAAACTCTCATTTGCAACCCAGAAATACGCTGAGGTGCCACAAACTGGCTGATGTCAGCACCAAGGAGAGCTCGATGTGCATATGGGCC